GGCGGGCGGCACGTGTCTCCTTTTATAGACTTATACAGAGCCATCATTTTGCTCGTGAGATTGACTATTTGCAGAGAAAGCGCTCATTACCAATGATCTCGCGTTTGTTGCGCTTGGCGCCCTTTCTTGATGAAGACGGAGTGCTGAGGGTTGGTGGAAGGCTTCAAAACTCTGTAGTGACTTTTGAAAAAAAGCATCCTCTTATATTGCCGGCTAATGAGCCGTTGGTTTGACGCTTAGTTGAGTATTCTCATTTGATTACCAAGCACGGTGGGGTTGTGCTCATGCGAAGTTATCTAGGTCGTTTTTGTTAGATTGTCCATGGTAACAAGCTGATCAGGAGTGTTTATAGGAAGTGTGTGATTTGCACGCGTCATGCTGGTAAGGTAGTTGCACAAAAAATGGATATTTTGCCTTCTTATCGATTAAATGGAACTCGAGCGTTTGCCTTTATGGAAGTTGATTTTGCTGGACCTTTTCCCATACTCTTTCCTAAGGGTCACGGGGCCAAAACGGTCAAGGGATACGTGGCAACCTTCGTATGCATGACTGTGAGAGCTGTACACATCAAGGTAGTGTCGGATCTTTCTTCTGAGGCATTTCTTGCAGCGTTTTATCGGTTTACTGCTCGGAGAGGTGTTTGTATTAGAGTTTTCTCTGATAATGGTACCACGTTTCGAGGCGCATCACGAGAAATTGAGAGCCGTTTTTACGGAGCGTTCAAGGAAATGAATAATGTTGTGGCTCGACTGGAGAAACAAGGGATTGTATGGGAATTCATTCCACCCAGAGCGCCTCATTTTGGCGGTCTGTGGGAGGCATCCGTTTGATCCTTTAAGTACCATTTGCGTAGGGTAGTGGGTGAGAATTCGCTTATTTTCGAGGAATTTTCGACTTTGGCAGCACAGATTGAGGCCTGTCAGAACTCTCGGCCTTTGTGCCCTTTAAACTCGCAGGGTAAGGATAGTGTGGCATTGACCCCGGGTAATTTTTTGATTGTTTCCGTACCTCTGTCCGTTCTTAAGTCCTGCTCTGATCCGGGTGAACGATTGACCATGTATCGGCGTTGGAACCTGCTTACTCAGATGCGCAATTCTTTTTGGGTTCGCTGGCGCAAGAAAGTCCTGAATCAATTTCAACAGAGAAGTAAATGGCTTCAGGAAAAGGAGAATTTGCAAGTAGGTGACGTAGTGATTTTGAGTGATGAGCAATCTCCTGCTGGTCGATGACCATTGGGTCGAGTGATTAAGTGTTTCCCTGGCTCTGATGGGTTGGTAAGAGTGGTAAGAGTCAAGACAGCGGCTTCAGAATTCAAGCGACCAGTCATTAGATTGATAAAATTGCCGGTTGATCAGAAATTAGGGGTCGCGCTTTCTTAAATAAATGGGAGTTATTTGCTAGAAGAAGGCAGGCGGTAGTCAGTTGTGTTGGTTAACTCTCCAGGCAATGCATAGAAAAAATGTATTTGCTAGGAAATTCTGCGTCAATTTTAATTAATTTTATTACGAATTATAAAGCAAAAAATTTTATTTGTATAAAAATTTGTTGTAAGATCTTTTGAAAACACACTCTTTAGTATTTATTTTTTGTAGTAATGAATTTGTTTATTTTTTTTTGTTTTTATGAATTGGGTACGATGTGGCGTGTAAGTTCAAAAGACCGTGGGAGAGATTTGATCGAATTTTAAGAATTTTAAATCAAGTTGAGCGAGGTTATAAAGAATTTGGCTAAATTTTTATTGTGTTTTCGAATTAGTAGAAAACCAATTTGATTGTTGCTTGGCCGCAACAAGGCGGGCGGTATGTTCGGATGGATAAGTAAGAGAGAGAGAGAGAGAGAGAGAGAGAGAGAGAGAGAGAGAGAGAGCTGTAAGAGTAGAGAGTAAATTTGTAATTTGAGTAGTAGGTATGCTCTCTCCGTGTGAGTCTGTGTGTTAGGTATTAACTAGACAAGGATAGCTCGCTTTTCTTTATGCGTGAGAGAAAATTTCTTGAGGTAGTCAATGGTGCGAGGCGTATTCGAGTTCGGTTTTTCGTTCTGTTCGGCCGAAGCAAGCTACTGGAAAGCCACGGAGTCGACTCTTCTTCAAATTTGGAGATTTGAGAGAGCGACAAGACTACAACTTATCAATTGCCGTGGACTTCATCAGCAACGAGCAGCCTTTTGAAGGCACCGACAAATACATCGGTTTTTCTTCGTCAAATCGAGGCCTTCGTCTCACCTCAACATCTGCGAGCGAGATTAGTAACACAGCGCAGGTATTTTGTAAATTTACTATAAGAAGAGATAATAGGTGTGTATTTTGCGATCGGCCAGGCAACGATATTATTCAAGATCTTTCGAAAGGTAAAACAAAAACAAATAAAGTCAATTCTCGTTTCATAATTAAGCAAATTGTTCTTGCTGTTTATTTAGTTTTCCCTTCCTTTACTACTAACCATGGCAAAATTTGTGGCAGTTGCTCCACGTATGATAGTCAATAATTCTGTTGATTTAAAGCGTCAACATTTTTGCAGCCGTCGAACCGGGCGCACATTTTATGGGAGTGCAAGACTCGTATAGAACAGCGTGCGCCTACAAAAAGAGGAGTGGATTCGCGTAGAAATAAGCAAATAGGCGCACATTTTGGAGACACGTGGAAAGGGTATTCCAAATGTGTGCCTACGAGGAGAGGAGCGGAAACGTTGACTATAGCTATACGTCTGAGCGCACAGCCAAAGCAACCGATCACACGAATTTTTCTCTTTTGACTGCAACCGAGTATATACTACATATATTTAACTGACTCTTGCTCTTCCGCTCTTGCATAAATGTTGTCTTATCAGTCTGATTCAATTAAATCGTGAAACTAAATGCTCATAATTATGTGCACAGAATTTGATTTCAAAAATATTCTTTTTTTTTCATTTTTCCCATATGTTCATACTTATTTTTAAATCCAGTATTACTTCGAAAAAATATTCAGCAATTTCTTAAGGATGGCAGTTTAAATATGACCAGTAATCTATTATTCTTTTCAATCATGATTGTTATGAACTGTCGGACAAGCTCTGAAGGTTGTCAATGAACCTATGCGACTTCAAGATCTTTTTCACTTAAACTACTGATAACTAAGATGGTTATTTCGATCAATAATTAAATAAAATCATTCGGCAAGTTTCTAAGGCATAAGAATTTTTCCAATATATTTTATTAATTTGTTAATAAGAAAAAAGTTCATAGTAGTACGAAAGAAGACAGCTTCAACTACTAACTACATAATAAATCTCGATCTATAAGATGTATTTTTAATTACTGTTAAAATTTTTGTTGATTAATTTTCAAAGGTATTAAGTTTTGATATCTACATGCGCTAAGTAAAACTTTGGTCTAGAATCAACATTATAGAACTAAAATTAAAATTATATATTTAATCAATGCGATAAGTATAGTTCCTTTACCTAAATTTTTTTAAAACAAAAGCCGGTTAGGGATTTTTCTTTAAGTTCTCTTATGCCTTCAGATTTATTCCATGTTACGTTGGATATTAATAATTTCTTGGGAATTTTAAAATGTAAGAACTACACTCATATCTTAAAAAATTGTTTTATTATTATGAAATCACGAAATGGCCTTGCTAACGATAAGTATCAGCTTATGAAATTACTCAATAGAATTAGTATTAAAAATATATTTATTTCAACGCATAGGTAAAAAATCGTTTGTAATATTATTTACAAACTTAAGTAAAACATATATATGTGAAAAGAAAATAAACCAAAATGATGAATGGCAAAAAAAAAAAAAAATCTGCTGAGAGTTGGAATCGATCTTTAAATAGCAAAAGAAAAAGAGCAGTGACAGAAGCACTAACCATCTAAGCTATCTGTATTTTGAGTGAAAAAGATCTTGAAGTCGCATAGGTTCATTGACAACCTTCAGAGCTTGTCCGACAGTTCATAACAATTATGATGAGGAAAAATAATAAATTAGTGGTTATATTTGAACTGCCACCCTTAAGAAATTGCTGAATATTTTCTCAAAATAATACTGGATTTAAAAATAAGTGTGAACGTACGGGAAAAATGAAAAAAAAAATATTTTTGAAATCAAATTCTGTGCATATAATTATTAGCATTTAGTTCCACGATTTAATTGAATCAGACTGATAAGACAACATTATTGCAAGAGCGGGAGAGCAAGAGTCAGTTAAATATATATAGTATATACTCGGTTGCAGTCAAAAGAGAAAAATTCGTGTCATCGATTGCTTTGGCTGTGCACTCAGACATATAGCTATGGTCGACGTTTCCGCTCCTCTCCTCGTAGGCACACATTTGGTATACCTTTTCCACGTGACTCCAAAATGTGCGCCTATATGCTAATTTCCACGCGAATCTATTCCTTTTTTTTGTAGGCGCACGCTGTTCTATACGAATCTTGCACTCTTATAAAATTTGCGCCCAGTTCAACGGCTGGCCACGGTGGGTCACCCCGATCAGTGCCAAAAAATCGTCTTACCTCGTAGCATTGGCGTTAACAATCTCTCTACTCATCTCTGTAGCTGGCTTTGCCAGTGAAGAAATAGTTTTTAAGATTAAGAGCACTTTTTCAGAAGGTCTAACACTAAGTAATTACCAAAAGGGCTTTTGTGGAGCAAAAGGCTTAACCAACAATTTGTAGGTGTTTAAAAAATCTGTAAGCAAAGGGTATATACATAAGGTAACTCGTAAATTATATGTAATAGGGCATTTTTACCACGCAGAAAAGATCACTCTGCTAAACTGGTAGGGTATAATATATTATAAAATAGATTTAAAATAGTAATATGTTTTAAAACAATGTTAGGTTACGTTTTTAGTGCCTAAAAACGATTATTGCTACTTTAAAAAACCGCGTAGAGCACACAAAGGCGTACATGAACATATTACAGATTAATAATTTTAATAGAGTTTCTAAAATGTAGTTTGAATGTAGATTTAAACTGAGCAAACTTGAAAAAGACAAAAAGACACAAGTACCTATTTTGTAAAAAGACTCCATAATTTTAAGTTCTAGAACATCGATAGTTTCTACATCGAAGAAAATTCCATTTACAAATAATACTGTGTCAGACGGTTGAATATTCAAGTTAGCTAAAAATACATCTTGATTCAATTTTATTTCTTTCTTCATTTCGTCACTTATTTTCAATTTTAATAATGATTTTGCCTAAAACAACAATAAGTTTTATAATAATTGTTCAATTAAATAACAGATAAATTATTGAGATGAAAATCACTAATACCTGCATCGGAAAATTTTGAGATATTTCGGTTAATACATTAATGACTTCACTTGGCAAAGAACTAATTATTTTATAAGCTGCTTGATGACTTAACTCTTGAAATTGCCAAATTTTCAAACTTCCTACTTCATGGATGTTTTCCGACACATACTTTTGCAGTTTATTTAAATCTTTTCGCTTCACAGGACTAAGTTTCCTTTAAAAATAGGGTGATAGATATTATTTTAATTTAAAAAGTTGGTCATTATTAAAATTCACTTCTCAATCGTCTTACTCAAGTAGAGAGAAATTTATGCCACTTGCATCGTTGATTTCTTTTTTGGTATTCTCTTTTGATTGATTTTCATTATTGTTTACCTCTAAATCATTACTGGCTTTATACTCAGTTGATTTAATTTGTAATTCGACTCCATAACCAGAAAGACGCAAATTTTGGTGTGCTCTAACCTAAAATAAAAAATTGCAGAGTGAGAAAAGAACTTATATGTTTTAGCAATAATTTTCATTTTTATGACGAATCGGCTGTTACATTTGATTATTTAATATTTTTTATGAATTAAGATATCACGTTAATCCTTACATATAAATAAATATTTCAGACTAGTACGGATGTAATAAAAGATCCATATATTTGGGATAAGGTGCAACAATTGCTTTTAGTCTCTATAATATTCAATACTGTATATTTCATGTCATAAGCTGACATTCTGTTCAGATCTCTAGTATTAATTTATACTATCAGTTAAAATTACTGACACATCCAAGCAAGTCCAATAACATTGGCTTAAAGTACTTTTTTTTTGTTTTACCAAGTTCTTGAGCACATGTTATTTCAAGTGCTTGGGTATGCGAGTAATTTAAACTGTTTGTAAGCGATGTTAAAAATATTTTATAAAACCGTGAGCTCATAGCTCAAAACACACAGTAGGCTATTAAGAAAAATTTTATTTTCGCCGGGAAGTATTGCTGGGATGGCAGTTGTCGTGAGTAGGAATCGGGATTAGCGGTTAACAAATTATCACGTTACGAATTACTATGTACAAAATAGTTAACAAAATTAATTACAAATGCTCGTTCTCTACAGCGATCGTGAGCTAACTGACTATTGTGCAGAACAGATGAATTTAAATTTTTCAAGCATTTTGGGTCTGTGTATTGAAATAATTCAGTGAAAATAGCTAGCGATTAAAAAAAAGATAAACGTAATACATATCACTTTTATACTGAACAGAAAAATTTATTTATAAGCTCTAGATTCATCCAAGCATACAATTTAATGAACTCTTGAAACAAATGTAATATAATGATCTGTATGAGGTTTTTCATAAGTTGAAGATATGTTGATAGAAAATCAGACACCCACTTAAAATGATTGTTTTCTGAAAATTAGAATTTCCACGATTCCTCTAATTTTATACATGTAGCATTATTTCAATCAACTCACTTTGTAACACGATCATGCACTTGAAAGACGGCTTAGAGCTTTACATAAAGAAAGAGAATAAAAAGAAATTTTTATGAAATTTTATACGTATAGAAATGAGATTATTTCGTCTATTATATTAGTTTGTGTTGTTCATTAATAAAATTATAGAAACAATTATTGTTTTTTTTCATTAGTTTCAGGTTATTATTTTTTAGTTTAATTTTCAAAACAATAAAATTGTGTACTTGTTATAAAGAACTGATTCAGATGACATTTTTTGTGATAAAATAAGTTATTATATTAAACTAAGGCACTACAAAACATTTTTTTTATAAATACTTACAAGATATTTTGTTACACGTACAAGCAAAGGTAGTATAAAAAAAAGTTAATAAAAGAGCTTTTTAAGAATAATAAATAATGTAATAAATATTGGCATAACTACAGAAATGCAATAAAATTATAAGCTTTGTACAACCATTTTTTTTTGTAATCAACAAGAGAACTTGACATTTAATTATTTAGCATTTTAAAAAGTTTGAAGTGGTCAACTTGAAATTTTTCTTAATTATAACTTTATTGTGTAAGTTAATGCAGTTTAGTTAAGAAATTTAATATAATTCAAAGAGTAATCCTAAACAAAATTTAAAAAATGCTTAAGTGTTACTTTGAATTTCGTTTCTCTACCTACACAAGCATATGCTTTTCATGACAGATCCCCTTGAATGGTATTTTCAATACATTCTTAGTAGGAAACTTAACATCCACTTCCTTGTATAATAGGCATAGAACCACAACTACTTAGTATAAATACTTGAGAGTCAATGTTGTTCTGTGAACCTGGCCCTGATGCTTTATCTTTGTATTTTCGTATTTAAGTATTTCTTAATGCTCGTTCATATTTGCGTATACCTTCAGCTCTCTTAGCTGTTGTTCATCTAATTCTTTTAATCAACTAATTTGCTGTGACTTTTATGCTTACATTTGATTGCTAATGTACCATTACATTTCATTTACTCTTCCCTGTTTTTAAAAACTTTTTAGAAAAAAAAAGTAAAAAAAAAATGATCAACTTACATATATTTTTTTTTTAATTGACAAACCATATTTGTATGCATATAATTGTCTCCCGACATTGTATAGATGTTTGTGCTAGGCATTTCTAACGATACCCAAAGTCTTCCACTGACCCATACAGGCAATCACCTCCCCCCACAAAATTTCGGAAATTACAATTTTTTTTTCGTTATTTCAACTTATAACATGTTTCTCAAGACCACCAAAAGTTCCTCACTGACTGTATAAAGCCTAACCACAGATATCATACCCAACGTTTCTTGATCCCTCACTTTCTCGATGGACACATTCTAACTTATCATGCGTTTTTTTTTCAACTCTTACTAACTTCCTACCAACTTTCAGAGATCTCGTGCACACTCCACACGCCAACCCCCCACACTTGTACTTAAAAATAATGAGCAAAACGAAACAGATTATGAGAGAACCTGATAATTAACTGGCAACAGCTGCCTAATGCGTTTATTGTATTCTCCTAAGAAGGTAACATCGTTTCACCATTGCGAAAGTAACTATTTTCAACTTTTTCTTGACTCAAATAAACTGCTGAACAATAAAGGTATTTATACACGGTGAAATAAAGAAAAATAAACATTGATAATGTATGTCACTAAAATACTTTAGTTTACATTGGATGGAAAAATTTGTATTATTGTAACATATATTTCTTTGTAAACTTCATCATCCAAATTATAATCAGTCTTATTTTTGAAAAATTAAAGCATTTACTTCGTTCGAATGATGCAAATTTTGCATAATACAAGCAAACACGAATAACTTTCAAAAAAATTTTTCAACAGCATGTAATGCAATTTCGCATAATAAACTTTATTGAAAGAAGACGTGGAAGACCTACTTTTTTTTAAGATTTGACAAGGCTTTGTAAAATAACTTGTAAAAATACCTCACTTTTACAGATCGATACTCCATGTTCATACTTAATTGATATTTTTCTTGAAACTGTGTCATAAATTTTTTTTTAAAGAAACTTTTACTTATATTTTGTTCCAACTCAAAAGAAGTTCTGTATATGGCAAAACCGATGTAAATGCACTGACGTTTCCTTAATTTAACTTCTTAAGAAAATGACAATTTTTTAAACATGTAAATTACCAGTAGACTTACAAAATATGAAAAGTGCATTCTTTGAATAACAATTTGTAAATAAAAAAATTCAGAAAGTTGATTTCACCTATTAAGATAAAGCTTTGATATTCCTTATTTGAGCCTTAAAAATAGTTGAATTTTACAAGATTTCTGCAACAATGATAAACCATTAGAAGTCATGCAAATTATTGTATAATTTGTATTTTGTAAATAGTAATCGAAAAACTCGAAAATCGCATTAATTTTCGTAGAAAAAAAGGTTTATATTACTATCAAGCGAGTAAAGATAGATCAGACGGTCATTTTTCCATAAATTTGTGATAATATACGTGATCGTAACACTTAGACATGGCTTTTTTTAGAGATTTTTTAACATAAAAGAGGACAGCAACACTTTTAGATGTAAAATGAAAATTTATTTATACATCAACTAGGTACAGATGTGTAGCGAAAAAATTTGTAGTTAATATTTTCATAAAGTTTTTTACGTACAGTATCGCAAAAACCATTCTCTAACGGTGAGGTTGCTCGTTTTCTGCAGCCATACTTATCCGCCAATACAATTTTTTTAAAAGGCCACTGCTTGAAAGAATGCACAATTAAGTATTTTCAAAATAACCCAAATGGAACTATCTATGTTGGTCCAATTTTCGGACAGAGGGGGTGCTCAAGTTGACAGAGAATGCCCCAAGTATATATATACACACTATTTATAAATTTTTATTTTTTATATATATATATTTATGATTATCAAATATACGAGAAAACAAAGGTACACGTGAAGAAATGTTAAAATTTTCAAAAAGCATTCTACTTTTTGAAAAATTTGTGTAATTGTTTTATCATATTTTACCGGCAAAATTCTAACTAAGTGCTACCTTTTATTATGTTGCAATATTTTTTTGTGGAGTACTTTTGATTTATATTATATTATGCATGCCGTTTTTTATATGAGGCTTCTTTTCATAATTCTACAAAAAAGATTGGTTGGCGAAAATCACCACTGTTTATTTTTTCACAGTACAAAAGCTTAGGATAACACGTGCGTACGTTATGTCCTTGGCACATTTGCATAACAACAACAAAAAAATAAAGGCATTTGTCTGTTTGCGTCATGGACGGCGTAGAAAAAATATATAATGATATATCAAATTAGATTAATTTTATTGAGAATCATTGATAAAGATCATATTAGGTAAATCTTATATGGAAAAAAAAATTTTGACTACTTGTAAAAGGGGGAAAGAAAAGCGTAGAAAGACCAAGAGGCGGGCAAGCAGGCGTAAGAAAAAATTGAAGGGCAACGAAAGGGGCTAAGGGGGACGAAAAAAGCGTGAAATAAGAAAGAAGAGTGGCAAGTAGCAGCAAGAATAAATTGAGGGGTGGTGACGGGACAGTAATCAAGAATTTTATTGGATTTATTTGACATTTGAATAAAAACAATTTTGCCTTCTGTGGAGGGGGGGGGGCAGGTGGTTTGTGTAAAAAAGCGTAGAAAGAGAATGAGAGGAGGCAAGGAGGCGTAAAAACTAATCAAGGGGCGGCGAGAGAAGTGGGGATAATTCCAAATTTTATCGGGGGTGTTTAACATTTTCATAAAACTTTGTAAAAATCTTTGTAAGATTATGATTATTAGCACATGCGAGTAAGATTGATGATAGTAAGACGCATTGTTAATACGTGGAAATATTATAAAAACTACATTATTGGAAACGATTACTTTGCAATTGTAGTGTTCAGCAATGGTTATTTCCATGTTGTGTCAAAAAGTAAAACTTTTGCTACTAAAATTCAAGTTCCATGTTTTGTAAAAATGTTTTATGTGTATATCAAACTT